TAAGGGTGATGGATGTTTTCATCGTCTTCAAGTTACCTTCTGCTTCTATCAACTTTTCTGTAATTGATGAAGAAGCCTACTGTGTAGGCGAAAGTTTTAATAAAGATACCTAATGTTGCATATGTGTCTTACCTATATATTTTTATTTATATATATATATATATATATATTATATATATATATATTATATAATATATTATATATATATATATACTTTTATATATTATATTATATATTTTATATATATTTTATTTATTATATATATATATATTAAATTATATTATATTATATATATATAATATATATATATATATATATATATATATTTATATATTATATATATATATATTTAATAATATAATATATATATTGATTATATATATATATATATATATATATATATATATATATATATATATTTTAATTATTTTTATTTTAAATTATATATTAATTTTTATATATTTTATAATTTATATATAATTATTATACATATAAATTTTATAAAATTATATAAACATATATATATTAAATTATATAAAAATTTTATAATATTTATAATTAAATTTATTATTTAAAATATATTATTTATATATATTTTTTGGTATTTATATAATACTTTATTTTTTTTTTTAGCCACGGGATTCCCCCCCAAAGGCAGGGGGGGCCCAAAAAAAAACTTTCCCATCATTCACCCCCAAATGTCCTGCCAAAGGGTGCTTTACACCATTTTTTTAAACTGAAACATTAAAACACCCCCCCTTCAGAGTCGGACTGTTTTTCCCTCTCCAGGATCAAGTCCGGCCTCCCGGTTTCCCCCTGAATCCTTGTAAATGTTACTTTGCTACACTCAAAGCACGTCAAGTATTAAAAACATTTGTGTCAATTCACTCCTATCAAACACCTCACGCATACCCACTGGAAGTCCAAACCCCTAACACACAAAACCTCCTTACCCTCTCTCTCCCAAAGCTTTCATAGGCCGACCCCTACCCCGCCTTCCTTCCACTACAGACTGATACACTCTTTGTCATTCTGCTTCGCTCCATCCTCTACATGTCCGAACCACCTCAAAAACCCCTTCCCTCAGCCCTCTGGACAACATTTTTGGCAATCCTGCCCTCCTCCAAAATTTCCCAAAAAACTACGATTCTTTTGCATTAATTTTTCACCCCACACATTGCCCTCAGACATGACATCTCCAATGCCTCCAGCCTTCTCTTCACTGCACATTCTCACCCATGCTTCGCACCCATATAAGAGCATTGGTAAAACTATACTCTCATACATTCCCCTCTTTGCCTCCAAGGACAAAGTTCTTTGTCTCTACAGACTCCTATGTGCACCGCTCATAACCTTACTTTTTCCCTGTATTCATTTTTTGATTTTCTTCTTTTAAAATACCTACAAATTCATCCACCAACCTCTCCCACTTTCTTCAGAATCTCCCAAGAGCACAGTGTTCAGCAAAGAGCAACTGTGAAACTCCCACTTTTGGGTGTTCTTATCTTTTTTAAATCCAAGCCTCTTGCCAAGACCTCGCATTTACTTCTCTTACAGCCCATCTATAAATATATTGAACAACCACGGTGACATCCCCACCCTTTTTAAGGCCCACTTTACTGGGAATAATCTTCCCCTTTTCCCCCACTCTAACTTAGTATATCCTCTTAAAAAATTTCACGTTTCAGTAATACCTCCTACCCATCCCCGCAACTCTGCCAATTGCCCCCCTTCCCCATGCCCTATGCCTTTTCCCAAAACCATAAATCCCAAAAAACCCTTTAAATTAATCTAAATATGTTCTTATTGTTTACTGTAAACATCTGGTCCCACACCCCCTCCTTTCCAAAAGCCCCCTTGTTCATCTGCATCCTATTCTCGTCTTTCTTTTTAAATTTTTCAATAATAAAATTTGCCATACACTTTTCCAGGTATACTCAACAGACTTATCCCCCCCCATCATTTTTTCATCTTTTTGTCCCTTTGCCTTTTTTCATGGAAATAGCACTCTCTGCCAATCCCCAGGTCCTTACCCTTTCCATGCATTTAATTTAAAAAATTGCACCAAATTCCAAACTATTCCCCACCTGCTTTTAACATTTTAACTTTATCCAATATATAAATATATATATATATATATATATTATAAAAATTATTTTTTACTATTTATATATATAATAATATATATTAGATTTATATAATATATTAAAATACATAAACACTCGCTCACAAAACGATCTTAACTATAAAAAGAAAACCCCCAGGGGGGGGGAAATTTTTAGCTAAAGGTTTTTTCACATTTTCCCAGTGCATCATCAGAAGCTATGCAATTTTTCAAGAGGCAACTAAAGCGGGGGGGTTTCAGAGTACTTTAGTGTGGGTGTGCCGGGCCCACCCCCTCAAAATGAAACGTTTGCGGGTAATAAAATGTCGTTTTAGTTGGGCCCCTTGTGCCTTTTAAAACTTAACAGCATTCCCTGTTTTTAAACCTTTTTTGATATCTAAAAAATTTAAAAAAATTAAATTTTTAAAGGGGTGGTAAAATAATGTGGTAAAAACCCTAAACCCCCATGGCCCCCAAAATTTCCCCTCAAGGTTATTTTTTCACGTCAAAAACAACATTACCATCATTGCCCTTAGGAAAAGGTCATCGCCACCCTCGCCTAAAAGGGGAGAGGGGGTTTTCAGAAAAAAAGTACCATATTTTCTATTTTTTTTTAAAGTAGAATATAACGACAGGTTTTATAAAAAGACAAAAAATTGGGGGTTAGCATTTTTTGAGGAGTATCCCCCCAAAAGGATTTAAAAATTTAAAGGATAATTCTTTTTTCCATGATTAACAAAATTCATGACAATAAAATCCCAAAAACCTAACATTCTGTCTTTTTTAAAATTTCCTGTAGTATAAAAAGTGAGTGACTTAGTCAACAAGGCTAAATGTAAAAGGGCTTTAATTTTATTTCGAAAAATTGGGAATTTAACTTTCACAAGCATCCCAGCTATTTGGTGTGAGGCACTACCTGTTTACTACCAATTAGGAAACATATTGGGAAAAGTCTATCCAAGTTATTAGGCATAAGGATTCTACCGTCACCATTTGTAGGATTTAGTATCAAGATTAGAAGACACTGGTGTCAGAAATAAGAAAATAGCCTAGACATTATTACGCTTAATGCAAGGTGTCCCCTGACCAAATCATTACTTTTCTACGTGGTCATGACACCTTCCAATTTTTGGTTCACCATACCCATTCCAGATTTCCTTTGTCAAATAAAAGCTTAAGTGAGCTTCAATTTGTTTTCTTTTCGTTCTAAAAAGAACAAAGATTTGGCTTCGCATTGGGGTCTGTTAAGTGCAGTATTGGCCATAATTCACTTGGAACATTAAGAAATAATCATAAAATCATACCCAGAAAATTGCTTTGCTCGGGTAGTTTGTCATCCTTATTACTGTTCCCAGACTGTTTAGCTTACAAAATTTCAGAAACCAGTTAAACCAGACTATATCATCAGTTCAGTCTACTTTGGAAAAAGGAACAGAAGAATTATATCTTGATCTACAGACCAGGAAATATGTAGTAATCAGCTTCTTGCAGGTACTTAGAATTTGCAATAATGAAGAACTTCTTGCACTAAAAGAAGAGAAAATAGAAAATACTTTACTCGATCTCAAGTATTCTTGCCTCATGAAATTCCATTGTAAGCGAAAAGATAATATAATACACAACAGGGCCACTAACCAGCACATAATGCATATTTACATAAAGCACAGATACATAATGCTCCCTGCCAACACAGTTGTTCTATCCTCGACCATCAGAGACTAAGGCTGAACAAGATGGTGTGGACGTTTACTATATACTAGGTTTAGAAAGACACGTAAGCAAACACTATAACATATTTATTAGAAAACGTTTCGGTCCTGGGACCTTGATCACCTGGGACCTTGATCAAGGTCCCAGGACCGAAACGTTTTCTAATAAATATGTTATAGTGTTTGCTTACGTGTCTTTCTAAACCAACTTGTCGGTATTTATTACCAAGGTTTATACCAACTATATACTAGGTACAAAAGAGGGTGAAATCAGATTTACATCAGGGAAACAATTGTCAGAAGTTTTCCAATAAGCTTGAAAGAACATAAATGTGTCCAGCACCAAGATCCCTACTTTCACCTCATGGTATGAGACACACCTCATGGTATGAGACGGATGCAGATACCCTGAATCTTTTTCTGTGATCCCCGTTAGCACAATTAAACAAAAAAGCGGTTTTCTTTCTTCCTCTGGACTCAGACATCACAAGCTCAGCACCCGACTACCTGTCCTAGATGCACTTTAAAAATATATAATTTTTGTTCCATTTCATGTACATGATACAGCCAAATTGTAGCAGAATGTAATACCAATAAAGGCTCATCAGCAATCAGAGTCATGCTAAATAAAAGGACAAAATGCAACAAATGCGACATTTTATTGTGGAAAGTTTGGCTCTTCAGGAGCTTTGTCAAGCCGTTGCTACAATAAACAGAACAGAATTCTTTCTCCGTAAGCAATGCGTGTCATAAGAGGTGACTAAAATGCCAGAAGCAAAGAACTAGTAACCCCTTCTCCTGTATACATTACTAAATTTAAAGAGAAACTTTCGTTTATCTTTTTGGGCCACCCTGCCTCGGTGGGAAACTGCCGGTTTGTTGAGAGAAGAAGTTGCATTTGTGTCCTTTTACATAATATATTGTCGGTAATTCTACCAATCAATGTCATATTTACTAATGAGAAAAACACGCAAGCAACATCCATAATATCATTAACATTATTCATTATTCATTATTCATTCCCCCCTTTGAAGGAGGGGTGTTAATGTTGCAGTTTAAAAACTGTAGTGTAAAGCACCCTTCTGGCAAGACAGAGATGGAGTGAATGATGGTGAAAGTTTTTCTTTTTCGGGCCACCCTGCCTTGGTGGGAATCGGCCAGTGTGATAATAATATAAAATATTATTCATGCTGCTTACCTTTCATACCACATGGAAAGTGAATTAGGTACAGATCGACATAAGTCAGCCGCAACTTATCTAATGATTTCTGTAGAAATCTTGGTACATCCTCCTCTCGATTTCCAATCATAGGTAGCTGGAAAATTTGTAAACACATTATTGTACCAAATAATTGTTGTATTACCACAAAAAAGTAATGCATCAGAATAAAACACTAATAAATATAAAGTGAAATATTGCAGCTAAACATAGTTTTATGATCAACATGAAAATATTTAAGTATTCTGAGTGGGCTATAGAATGTAGGGTGGATGAATGAGAGGGACAGCATATGAAATACATTGAAGATACATGAAGAAATATGAACCGTAAAGTACGTAAAAAATGGTGAATTACAATACTATACATAAAGTATGTGAACCGTCATGAACAGAAATTAGTATAACCATCAAGTAAATGAGCAAGAATGAAACATCAAGAACATGAACAAGCATGAACCATCTTGTACATAAACAAGCGTTAACTATCAAGTACTTATACAAGGAGAGAACCATCAAGTACAGTAGGTGTCGTAAGTATGCTAACCCACAGGCACGTCTTCAGCAGACTGTTTGCCTGACAGCTTCAAGAAGTGCCAGGACAACGTTTGCTATACTGCCAGAAACAAAAAGAATTGACTAAATTAGTGATTCCTTCCATACTTAATGACAACCTGGAAACTCAGTGGACTTTAAGGCAATAAAGAACATTTGGAAACGTATAAAGTGTAAGCTTCGTATCATAGATATGTCCACTAACTCCAATAACTCATGTGGAAAGTTTGGGATTTTCCCAAGTTCAGCATGTGTAAATTTGAATAATATAATAATTGTGCAATAAAATGAGATGCTGATTTGACCATATCGAGAAATTTCAAGTGAAGAGTGAGGATGGGGGGGTGGAGAACAGCTGCTGAGTGACGTGGTTGGGGAGATGCCATTAGTAATTTGTAAGCACTGGTTGTCGCGGAAAACTCAGCTAATAATTCGGCGTCTTCGTAGCCAAACTGGGAAAGTTCAGCCTGAATTTGTAAAAGGAACCGGTGTTAGTGTCCCCAGCTGAAGAACTGGGACAGGAAATATGCAAGACCTCATGGAATTGTCTCAGAGTGAGAGACGATTCCATGATCAGGGAGATGGTATTAATTGGATCCTTTGCTGGTGATTTTATAACAGGTAAAATTCCTCCCGAATTAGTAGAAACAATAGATGGGAGAGAAGTGGTCTCAATAAGAATCTGTGATGGTGTCAAGAATCGATGCACACCTCGATTTATTATACACAGATTTATGGAAACAGAGAAGAGCCAGTGTGTAAATAGTGGGATTTAGGCATGGTAGTTACAAAGCTCTAGCAGCCATCTGTTGAACATAGTAGTAACAAAGCTCTAGCAACCATCTGTTGAACATAGTAGTAACAAAGCTCTAGCAACCATCTGTTGAACATAGTAGTAACAAAGCTCTAGCAACCATCTGTTGAACATAGTAGTAACAAAGCTCTAGCAACCATCTGTTGAACATAGTAGTAACAAAGCTCTAGCAACCATCTTTGAACATGGTAGTAACAAAGCTCTAGCAACCATCTGCTGAGCATAGTAGTAACAAAGCTCTAGTAACCCTCTGTTGAACATGGTATAATAAGCTCAAGCAACCATTGTTGAACATGGTGTAAAAGCTCTCCCCAAAAACAGGGGAAAAAAACCCCCCCCAAAAAAAAAAATTTTCCCCAAAAAAAAAAAAAAGGGGGGGCCAAAAAAAAATTTTTTTTTTAAAAAAAATTAAAAAAAAGGGAAAAAATTTAAAATTTGGGGAAAAAGGAAAAATTTAAAATTTTAAATTGAACCAAAGGAAAAATTGGGAAAAAAAAATTTTCCCCAAAAAAAATTTCCCCCGGTAAAAAGGTTAAAAAAAAAAAATTTTAAAAGTAAAAAAAAAAAAAAAAAAAAAAAAAAAAACCCCCCCCCCCAAAAAAACCTTTTTTTAAAAAAACCCCAAATTTTTTTAAAAAATTGGGAAATTTCCCAAAAAAAAAAAAAAACCCCCTTTTTAAAAATTTTAAAAAAAAATTTTTTTTTTAAAAAAAAAAAAAATTTTGGGGGTTTTAAAAAAAAATTTTAAAAAAAAAGGGTTAAAAGGGGGTTTTAAAAACCCTTCCCCTTTTTTAAAAAAAAAAAAAGGGGGGGTTTTTTTCCCCCAAAAAATTTTTTAAAATTTCAAAAAAAAAAGGGAAAAAAAAAAATTTTTTTTTTTAAAAAAAAAAAAAAAAAAAAATTTAAAAAAAAAAAAAAAAAATTTTTAAAAATTTTTTTAAAAAAAAAAAAAAAAAAACCCCCCCCCCCTTTTTTTTTTAAAAAAAATTTCCCCCCCCCCCTTTTTTTTTTTTTAAAAACCAAAAAAAAAATTTTAAATTTTTAAACCAAAAAAAAAAAAATTTTAAAAAAGCCCCCAAAAAAATTTTTTTTTTTGGGGGGGAAAAAAAATTTTTTTAAAAAAAAAAAAAAAAGGGGGAAAAAAATTTAAAAGGGGAAAAACCCCCTTTTTTAAAATTTTAAAAAATTTTTTTCCCCCCTTTTTTTAAAAAAAAACCCAAAAACCATCTGTTGAACTTGGTAAGTAACAAAGCTCAACAACCTTTGCGGGAACATTTTTTAAACAAACCCTTTTAAAAACCCATCTGTTGAACATGGTAGAAAAAAGCTCAAGCAACCATCTGTTGAACATGGTAGTAACAAAGCCTAGCAACCCATTGTGAAAGGGGTTTTTAAAAAGCTCTGAAACCATCTTTTAAACCCATGGTAGTAACAAACCCAAAGAAAACCACCTGTTAAAAAAAAAAACAGGGTTTAGTAAAAAAGCTCTAGAAACCCCATTTTGCTAAAACATGGTAGTAAAAAAGCTAAAAGAAAACCATCTGAGGGAACATGGAAAGTAAAAAAGCTTTTAGAAAACCATTGTTGAAAGGGTAGTAAAAAGCTCAAGAAACCGTCTGGGGGAACAGGGTTTAGTAACAAAGCTCTAGAAAACCATTGTTGCTTTTGTAGTAAAAAAGATCTGGCAACCTTTTGCTGAAATGGTAGTAAAAAGCTCTAGAAAACCTTTGTTAAACATGGTAGGTAAAAAAGCTCTAAAACCATCTGCTGAAATTGTGTAACAAGCTCTAGAACCATCTGTTAAAACAAGGAAGAAACAAGCTCAAGAAACCATTTTTGAAAGGTTTTAAACAAAGCTTAGCAACCATCTGCTAAAACATGGGTAGAAACAAAGCTCTGGGCAACCATTTTTTTTTGAAAATGGTGGGAAACAAAGCTTAGCAACCATTGCTAAATTTTTATTTAGAAACCCAAAGTCTAAAACCTTTCGGGAATAAACTTTGGTAGTAAAAAAAGCTTTTGAAAACCTTCGCTGAACTTTGGTAGTAACAAAGCTCTAGAAACCCATCTGTAAACATGGTGGGAAACCCAAAGCTCTAGCCCCCCCATCTGCCTGAACATGTTAGTAAAAAGCTTAGAAAACCATCTTTTGAACATGGTAGTAAAAAAAGCTCTAGAAAACCATCTGCTAACAAAATTATTTAAAAAAGCTCTGGCAACCATCGGCTGAACGGGTTTGTAACAAAGCTCTAAAAAACCATCGGCTGAAATGGTGGGTAACAAAGTCTGGGCAACCCATCTGCTGAACAGGGTTTAGTAACAAAGCTCTAGCAACCTTTCTGCGGGAAAATGTTAGTAACAAAGCTCTACAACCCTCTGCTAAAACATTGTAGTAAAAAAAGCTTTTGAAACCCATTTTTTGAACTTTTGGTAGTAACAAAGCTTAGAAAACCCATCTGTGAACATATTTGTAACAAAGCTTGAACCCAAATCGGGCTGAACTTTGGTAGTATAAGCTTAGAAACCCTTTCTGTTAAACGGGTAGTAAAAAAGCTCTAGCAACCTTTCCCTAAACTTAGTATTTAACAAACCCTTTAGAAAAACTATTGCTGAAATAGTAGTAACAAAGCCTAGAACCATTGCTGAACTTGGTAGAAAACAAACCTTCTAGAAACCATCGGGTAAAACATGGTAGAAACCAAAGCTCTAGCAACCATCGGGCTAAACATGTAGAAAACCAAGCCTAGAAACTTTTCTGCTAAAATTTTAGTAGAAACCCAAGCTCTAGCAACCATCTAAACGGGGAACGGGTCAGGTGAAAAAAACCCTTAGAAACCCCTTTTCTCCTAAACAGGGTTTGGGTAACAAAGCTCTAGCAACCATTGCCTGAACATGGTGTAAAAAAGCTCTAGCAACCTTTTTTTTGAAAATATAGAAACCCAAAGCTCTGGCAACATCTGCTAAACCTGGTGGGGTTTAACAAAGCTCTAGAAACCCCATCTTTTGGGAACAGGGGTAGTAAAAAAGCTCTAGAACCATTCCCTTGAACATTGTGGGTAACAAGCTCTAGCAAAAATCGGGTGAAAAAGGGCAGAAAACAAAGAAAAAACAACCACTTTTGGGAACAGGGTTTGAAACAAAATTTAAAAAACCTCTTGTTGAACATGGTAAAATAAAGCTCAAGCCCCAATCTGTAGACTTTGGTTTAGTAGAAAAAGCTCTAGAAAACCCATCTTTTTGAACATGGTATTTAGCAAAGCTCTAGCAACCATCTGTTGATTTGGGTTTAGAAACCCAAAGCTTTAACAACCATCTGCTGATCATAGTATTTACAAAGCTCTTGAAAAAATTTTGTTAAAACTTTGGGTTAGTAAAAAAAGCTCAAGCAACCATCTGTAAACTTGGTGGAAAACCAAAGTTAGCAATCATCTGTAAAACATGGTAGTAAAAAAAAGCTTAGAACCATCTGTTTAAAAACAGGGGTAGTAAACAAAGTTTCAAGCAACCATATTTTAAAAATTGGTAGTAAAAAAGGGCTTAGCAACCCATTGCCTAAAACATGGTAGTAAAAAAAGGCTAAAAGAAACCCATCTGATAAACATGGTATTTCAAAGCTCAGAAACCCATCTTTTTTGAAATGGTAGAAACCCAAAAGGCTAAAGCAACCGTCTGTTAAAAAATGGTAGTAAAAAGCCTAGAAGATTGTTAAACATAGTAGAAAAACAAAGC